CTCAACAATCATCGATTCCTTACTTAGAGACACCTTGAAGCACGCGTTGACAATTGCGAGATCATCGTCTCTACGCTGCGACTGTTTGAAAGCCTTATAGTACTCTTGCTAAAACCAAAATCATAGTATCAATCATGGTATTATTTAAACGCAAAATTTATTAATGGAAACTAAATTAACTATTTATGCCAACAGGAAAACTATGAGCACTTTAATGCAACGAGTGTAATGACAACAACAACCCACCAAAATAAGACCTATGTGTCCACGTCGTGGAGTTAAAGCAATGGTCAGTGTAAAGGCCCGCATACCAGGGAGAGTTATAGTGCATATATTTTCCTTCGTGAAAAAGATGTCACAGATCTTTGAAATGGTCATATAACCAGACTGTTATAATTAAAAACTAGCACATCTTTAACACCATTAATCTATTTCCGCTTAAGAGAACGACACTTCGATCATGAAATGAGACAGAGAGATTCGGAAAAACCGTCTGTAATAATGCTCAATGAAAGAATACCTCTTCTTCAAACTGACTACCATATGAACTGAGGAAAAGATTCGTGGAGTAGAAGATATTGATGATAGTGAATGAAAAATGCAAAGAAATAAAAATTAAGCAATATTCTTCATTAAACATGCATGGTTAAGACCGGGACACTGTGATGGAGAACCAATACCCTAACTTGCACGTCATTACGTCATCTTCCTTGAAAACGGTAACAAGAACACTGTCGTTAAATAGAACGAACGTCAACTTAAATACTATTCTGGAGCCGTGTCAGCCAACCATGAAATTATCAACGTCAGGATAGATAATGTTGTGAGAGTTTAAAACTTTCGCGCTTCGATTTAGTAACTGACCTTTTGCTTTCCTTCTACAGGTGAAATAACAAGCACTCTCTAATGTTATCTATTGGCATAAATCGGTGAAAGTTAATAAGGCGTGTAATCCTTCAGTTTCACGTTCGCCTTCAGCAATTTCTTAAGGATTACGGAAACAATAGCTTCAGAAAGTGTTTATACAATAAAGCAAGTTTTAATACGATAAATTCCAGGAGTTCAGGATACTCAATACCTACGATGGATTATTTCTAGTGGATAGCCTCATTAAAGTCGGCGGCTCGTATATTATATAGCGTTACCTTCTTCAACTTTTCTACTGTCCTTAACTGACAGCTGGTCCTTTGTCAGACAGTCGTGGCAATCTGCCTGGCCACAACATATCAACGGAAGGGGGAAACTGTAACACTTTTGAACACATCCAGTGGTTAGGATCTAACATCTTTTGATACAGCGTGCGAACGACTGGGTAATAGGGGACCTCAGTAAGAAGCCATTG